AAATATGACTGAACAGCTGATAGTATTTTTTCTGAGCCTTCTGACAGAGAATCTCTTTAAAGCACCATCAAGCTATTTCTTAGGGAATGGGTTAAATTTATCTAGTTCCTACAACTTGTTTGTCATCACTTTTTCTTAATTAACATCTGAAATGTATTATTAGAATTAGCAGTAATCCCATATTATAGCCTCCCTAGCTGTATGGGTAATCTTGCCCCTTCTGATTAAGTCAAATAATTATAAATCATTTTTTTACAGTGGATTCTGTCCACCATATTATGTCCTGAACTACCAGGCTACTTCACTAACATGGAAACAGGGAGATGACTTTATACGGACAAAATAGGGACTTGGCAGCGGCATTGACATTCTGCTTACCATGGTGATAATTTGTCTGCACCTTTGTTGCAATCCGTTTTGGGCTAGAAGCAACTTCTTGTGGAAGTACGTGCTGTGCATTTATGCCCAGTCATGACAATCATAACTCAACTCCTACCATACGAATTACTTGCCAAATTGAAATAAGCATCAGTTTGACTCCTAACAATAACACAACCACTAAGCTGTGTATTAAACCTCTGTGATAGCAAGTCTTGATAAGAGCCTTTCTCAACAGAAGTCATTTACCTTTTAAAGCTCCTGTAAACTGTTTTGGATTCCAACTGGGCAGGTTCAAAATGTCTTGTTAGTATAATCAGCCTCTGCTATCAGTAGAAAGATTACTAGTAAGTTTGCTTATGTGCTAGGCAGATAGAAGCCACTTAATGTGTGCTGGTCTGGAAAATGTGAAGCTTAAGACTGGCCACTTCCAATGGATTCAGCTGTGTGGTTAGTTTTAAACCTTTGCCTGGAATGAATACTATGCAACTTTTTCATGACAGGAAATTAGGGCCATCAAAAGTTTACTTTTATTTTCCTATATAATTTTCAAATACTTGAAGCAGTGTAGGGAGACTATTACGTTTGATAAAACCTTACAAAGTGTATTCCTCTGATGGCAGCTCTAATTACGAATTTGAGGAAATATTATATTCTTTTTCCATATTTAAAGATTCACTTTTATGCTTAGCCAAAACTGTGTGTTGAAATATGACAGTCTTGAATGCTTCCTGTTTCTAGGTTATTAGTCACAGAGATAGATGCAAGTAAAGGGGATCCTGCTTTCGCATAATCTTTTCCCTAGCTTGTTTATTCCTTGCGGATGTCATTTTACTTGTAACATCACAGTTCCCATACCAAAATGTCATAATATTATAACTGAGGATTTTGTGACTCCCAACTGCTGAACAGAGAGGTCAGAGGTCTAAATCTGTTTATGTATAAAAACTGAACAGCAATAAATGTCTGAAGATGAAAAAAAAATGAAGCAGATTGATTTCTGTTAATTTTTCGGCCCTTTCATCTATAGAACTATTAGTTACATGAGAACCCTTGAGTTTCTGAGAAACAGTTTTATCCCTGGATAGGTAGAAGTACAGGAAAAATGAATGCTTGCAGGTCTTATTCTGCATCTTTTCCTCACGTTGATGGGCACATCTCAATACTCCCATTGAAGCCCAGGGGCAAGTTAGTGAGATAAAACTACTCAGTGTAAGATTGTTCAGAATCGGGCTCATAGGGAATTCTCCTCTAGACTGATTTCAGCTTTTAAGTAGGGTGAAGCCCAGGGTACCTGGGCTCAATTAGAAGGCTCCAGCAGCCAGAATGTAATTTTGTTCAATTTAAATCAGCTTTAGAGAACAAAAACATCTGTGTGCCTATTGAGTTCCTACAGTTATAAGACTCCTTCCTTCTGAGTTCAGAGACCTCCAGAATTGAGACCTGGGAAGGTAGTGCTGGCAAGGAAGAGTAAAGGGAATAATATCCTGGAGGAAGTCACAGAGAGCAACAGGAAGTTGCAGAAGGGGTTTCATCAGAGTTCCCTTACAGCAGCTCCCCCAATAGGTAAATTGAACTGGCATATAATCATGGTATCTTGGCCATATGCCCACCCCAGGTGACTTGCTCATTAACTTTTTTACCCTCTTCTTCTCCTCCCCATCATAACGTGGAGGAGGGGTTGCAAGTATATGCACAGCTGCATTTCCTTTTGGACAGAATTTCCACTGCTGGGGTTCCAGACTGTTTTTCTGTCAGAAGAAACCCAGAGGAGAAACAATATTTTAAAATATTTTTGCTGCCTAGATTGTGCTGGTGGAGAGTGCCCATTGGCACCCTAGCTTGCAGAGAAGCGGGAGCTGTATGTACATGCAGACAGAATTATCTCCCTTAGGATAAGATGTTCTTCCAGCTCAGATTTGAAGCCTGTTAGTAGGATAGTGTTGGGGCATCTGCAAGCTATGATCCCTGGTGTACATGTTCTATACCTAAAAAGAATACTTCCATTTCTATAGTGGCAATCCAACAGCTTTCATAAGCACTGCATGTCTAAAATAAAGGAATTTAAATAAGCAAAACAACAACAACAAAATAGCCTTAACCAGGGCCAGGGCTCTGACCAACTTGTTGATTCTGCATGGAGGACTGACATTTGGAAATTTCCAAGTTATAAAACCTACACGAACGTCTGTAAATGATTAATTATGGAATCTGAGTTTCACCAAGCTTACATCAAAGTACAAAACTGGGTTGATTTAAGAGAGAAAGGCATCCTTTTGTTTTCCTTGCAAGTCCACATGGAACTAGTTTGCTACAGGAAATGTGCATTTAAAACACATTTCCTAATGCACTAAGCCTCCTGGGATTCACATCTCAGCCCAAATCTTCCAAAAGACGACTTTAAAGATGAATGTCCCCTACTACTAGACAGTCTTATAGCCCTCCCAAAATGCAGTGACCGTGTGTTACAGTGGTTCTGATAGTGGACACTATAGTTAGAGTTGAGAAGCACTTTTCATTTTAATCTACTGTTTTCACTCACTTGCTAAATATTACAACATTATTCTTTTCAACTGATACTTCCCATACTTGTCTCAGCTTGAAATTTTACACAATTTCATTTTTTTTGGAAAATCAAACCACAGTTGTTCTTGGAGCTTTTGGGTTCCGTGAGTACGTAAAATGTTCCTTTTTGTTTGTTTGTTTTGTTTTTGTTTAAAAATCTAGACTTTTGTGTTTGGATAGTGCAACAAAAACGGAACAAAAATAATGAAATGTGCCATGACCAAGGTCCTTCCCAAGAAAGAACTTAGCTTTAGAAGGGGTGAAGAACACTTACTCTTTCTCATGGGGAAAAGGGAGTGAATTGAGTCGATCCTGTGTTGGGGAAGGAGAGGCCATTAAACTTCACTTAAGAGGAAGGGAACCAGGATACTATTTTTGCTGAGTACACTTTTAAATTACGATGACTGCATGTTCTACATTATATTTGCTCCTCATACCTACAAGTTATGGACAGTTTTGTTCTATCCCCACCAGTAGGAGAGCACCATACCCAAGCAGGAACAGTTATTTTTCTCTTGCCCTTGTTCCCCCTCCCAAACTAGGACCTATATAAGTGCCAAATTTGGCATTGGCTTATACTCCATGTATTCCAAGTGAAGTTGCTGAGGCTGCATTTCTGCCAAAAGGGACAGTCAAAACTAAACACAGTTGATTGCTAAACACTTCCAATGTACCTGTTAAACCCTCACCCACACAGAGTTCGGACCCCATAAAGGGAAAAGTGCCAGAGACTCCATTAAGTCCTAAAAGTTTTACTCCTTGGAGATTTTGTGATGACTAATGGTGAGGAAAATAATAGCTCCAATAGTATCAGAAGAGGCAGAATGCTTCCAACTCAATGTTACATATATGTCTTGGCATTTAGTGTCTTACACGTAAAACAATATATTACTGTAGGTTTTGTATTTTGCATGAAACATGATGCTATGAAGTATACAGAATACTTCATACGATTACTACTATTATTTTTTAATACAGCGGTGTGCATGCCACTTTGAGGAGAAGTTGGCTTGCTAACACAGACCCAATAAGAGATTTCTTGATAAATACCACAGCTTTGCAAATGTTAACCTCTGTGAGAAGACAGGGTAGATGAATGATCATAAGGTATACACAATAGGCTATACCATGGCTTGTTCTTGTCCTGATCCATACAATGACTAGAGCTGGCTGACCGCATGGAGAGTAGATGGTTACCATATTTATTTATATACCACATGCACCTTTTCCCCAAAAACTCAGCCCTCCAAAATTGGGGTGCATGCCTGAAGTGGGGAAGCTGATTTTCTTCACCAGAACTTCACTGCGTGGAGGCACAGAAGCACAAAGACATGGTGCTACCAGATGGCTAGCAGTTTCTCTCTCCTGCCAGCACACAAGAGGAGGGGAGGGGGCAACAGACCCAGTCCAGTGCTAAACCTTTCACAGCCTCTCTCAGCTTGAATTCAAGTTTGGTAAGTTTTATTTCTGTAACAAGGATATGGGTGATATGTCATACAATAGTGGGTACCACCTTGGTACTATATATCTTCAATCTCTTTATTATGGGACAAATCTTGCTAAAATGTGGCACAAATTTGAGTGGTTGTAAAGGGGTTAACACGGATTCTCCCTCCTGCTTACTGGAAGCCATTCTGTAGATTGTCTTCACGAAAAAGCCAGCTCTAGTTATGACTCTGGAAAAAATCCACACCCCCGCTTTTGTCTTCCCCAAAAAAGGTGTGCATCTTATTTGGTATTTGGTGAGGTATGAGAAAATGAAAAGCTAAAGGCACATTGCCTTCTACGCCTGGAAGCCTCAAGGAACATTATACCTTCTATAAGCACTGGGCTTCCAGTGGACCTGTTACATTGATAGGCCTGTGCAGTGCACCCCAGCAATTCAGGGCTGAATTGTAAAACCATAACAGAGCCTCTACAAAAAATAAACTTTGGCTAGCAAAGAAATGAGTATAGTTGCAAGTCACAGTTACCATACTAGTAAGTTAAAATGAAGTTTCCTATTCCAACCACCCCACTGGAAACTTTAAATAAAGTTTTGTTTAATTCTAAAAACGTAAGATCCTTCAAATGTCTATGTTTTATACACTGGTGACTGCAAAAAAAGAAGGAAGACTGTTGATAAATATATACGTACCACCATAAACGGGCTTGTAGCATTGAGCATGCAGGTAGTGTGGCGTTCATTCCTGTATCTGAAAGTTACCATGACAAAACCAATTGCTTCTGGAATAGCCAGTATAAAGGAGAGAATCCAAATGGAGAAAATTTCAATAGCAGTGATCATAGGGATTCCAATTCCCTGTACACGACTCCAGGAAGCAACTGCCCTGTACCTAAAATAGAAAAGCACTGGGTTTCAGTGACCAATTTTCTCAATTAAAATTCAGAACTTCGGTGCAGGCTTAACATATCAGGAATGGACCTACATTTCTTAAACTCCCTCAGGTGACATTTGCCCAGTGCCAGCGTGGGGTCTGTTACCTGTTTGAGTGAAGGTCTAGTCAGCCAGGAGAGCTTTAGCCCTGAGAAGACAGAGCATGTATGCAAGTGTTTGCATAGGAAGGCAAATAAATCTGTAGGCATCAAATAAATGATTTCTACTACGGGGTGGTCAGTTTCCCTAAAATCCTGAAAAAAATATCACTCATGAAAATGCACTTGTCCTGTTTAGGGGTGTAGGCTGTAGCTGTGTTGGTCTAAGGCCATAGGCAGACAAGGAACCTTGTCTGCCTTGTCCTGTTTACCATTTCAAGTGCCATTTGTCATCTATTTTACAGCAGGTGTGTCAAAAGATACAGACCACAGCTGTATCATCTGGCCCCTGGTACTGCCCATGTGCCTTTGAATGAACCACAGGCAGTGAGTGGGTAGGGTGTGCTAGATGGCCCTGTGCGATGCCCAGGGAGCAATGGCGCAGTCGCCACATGCAACACAACCTCAGAGTGACTGTGTGTAGCTCTGGGACTGTGCTGCATGTGGTGGGGGCTTTTGGGCCTTGTGGCACAGCCCAGCAGCAACAAGAGCAGGATGGGAATGTGGGGCCAGCCTGTCAGTTCAGTCTGGCCTGCAGAGCAGCTCCACACCACTCATCTGGCCCATGCGACCAGATGCATATGTTTTACAGGCTGACATATATTATATGGTAATTTCTAGACAGGCCTCAGAATACAAATACTAAAGGACTGTCAATCCAGTCTCAGCATCTACATCACTGTTGCTATGAGAAATTTAAGTACACGGGTGAGAAAGATTTTATCTGAAAATAAAATCCACGCTAAAAACAGCACACTGTTTCTAAAATGCTAAAATCAAATGGTTACTTTTAAGTTGAAGCTATTCATATGAGGTTACTCCTATCCAACAACAGCTTCAATAAATGTGCATCTAGCCTATGAAACAGTTCAGCAAAGGCAGTATGATCTCATAAGCAGGCCTCCAGTATTTGTTCCTATAATAATATCAAGGGTTTACTGTGGCCTGATGGGTTTATTTGTGTCATTAATGCACATCCACTTTGAAAACCGTTTATACTTAATTTGTTTGTTTACTTCCTTAAAAAATGTACTAAGTCACCATCTGGAATTACTGTACTGTTTTCATTTATGGGTATCCCATGTCATCCACTACAGAATTATTTTTTTTGAATTTGGAAAACCAAGGAGATAGCCAGGAAAGGCTATTCATCTGCTTACAAAATGTTAATATACAATATGAAGGTGGGCCCAATGAAACAGTTAAAATACTAAAGGGATGTGTGGTAATTTTAGTGCCTGGGGAAAGGTTCCAAGTCCAACTCCCAACAATGCATTGGTGGACTTGTGAATTAAGTTCTGTGAAGCAAGGGTGTCTGGTAAGAAGATTGAACCCATGGATGCAGAAATGAATCTATTAAAAATATGCAGCAGCATGACCATAAGATTACAGATAGAATAGATGTGGAAGGTGGCAGGGCCAATATCTTAGCACTTAATAGATTAGAATTCTTCCCTTTGGTACATATAGCACTATTATACAACACAGTTGCAAACCAAAACTTATAACAGTGGAGTTGCAAGGTTAGGGAAAAGCTCTTTCCTAATAGTAAATATTTTAAAGGAAATATTAGTATAAATGAAAGGTCTATTAAAACATCCAAATTCCAATTTAGACTTGAAGGCAAAACCTAACAATTACTTTTAAATGTATTCTTATATTTATAGAATGCCTATGTAGTGGATGACAAGAGTTCATTTGCTAAAGAAGAGAACAATGAAATTGTTCAGCAAAAAAAAAAGCTTGGATGGCGCATGACACTAGTTTGGTATACGTTTTTTGGTAAATGAGCTACCTCGGGGTATCTCTGTCAGTGCTGTATTGTGCTATGCAGACATACGAATAGAACCTGATCTCCTGTGTATTAATGGCCACCCTTTGGGAGGCAAATCTTAGACTCAATTTTTCCATTTTTAAACCAGTCTACATGTGCCGAACTCCTGTTCTGTTATAGGTATAGACCAGTTTTGTGTGCCGAACTTCTGTTCTGTTCTGGGTATAGACCCGGTTCTGATCACTTTTACTGGTAAAAGTGTAATGTCTGTACCTGGCCTTAGAACTTTTAATTTTGTCTCCCAAACTATAAAGTTTCTAGGCTAGAAATATCATATTTCCATTGTGTTTAGGGTTGGTCATTTTGTTTGTTTTCTCTTGAGTTAGTGGCAAGCCAAAAGCATGTACAACTTTTTAAGCCTAAGGTATTTACATCTTTTTTTACCTCTAATCCTTTTTTCCCCAAAAGAATTTACCTCCAAGAACTTACATTTAGCTTAGCTTTGTCCTGTTAGGTTGTAGGCTGGTTTCCAATCACTTATACTGGTAAAACTGTAATGTTTGTACCTGGCCTAACAAATGCTGCAAATGTTAACTATTGAATTAATCACTGCAACAACCCTAGAATATACTGTGGTTAAGTTTCATATGTACTGTTGTTCCCATTTTACAGATAGAAAGGCAAAAAGAGAAAGATTATGAGCCAATCCAGGACAAAGAGGTGTCATTGTTAGAATTGGAATTAGAAAAATTAAAGTCTCTTGCTCTCAGTCCTGTGCTGCCCCTCCTCTTCCACAAAGTACAGTATTGCAGAAAGGTAAAATAAAACTTTACACATACAGGATGAGATCCGTATGTTTGCCTCACATCTAACAACCATCAGATTGCCTGGGACATAAGAAATAGTAAAGCTCAGGGGGGGAAATCTCCTTCCTCTTAGTCACAGTCAGACTCAGTTAAGAAAAGATTCAGACTGTAGTCATCACCATGATCTAGAGTTTAAAAATGCCTGACAGGCATATAAAAAAAATGTGTTTTCTTTGAAGGGTGAATGGCTGGTGTGGTATTGCCTGATAGCCTCTGAAAATCAGCTCTATACATGAACAGTAGAGCTCCCTCTGGGCATGTACTGTTAAATTTTAGTGTGCAATCCAAAACCATTTTGTATATAAGGAGCATAAGTAATGAATAAGGTTTTACAGTAGAGAGAGGATGTAGTTAAACGCAGGGACAAATCTTTGCAGAAAGGAACGAACATTTAGTTCCTGAATTAAAGAAAGCAAAAGACAGTTACAAAAGCAATTGTGACCAAAGCTATGGAATGCTGGATTTTACTGACTCAGCATATGTCTACACTGGTGACAGCACTATAGTGTAAAGATATCTGAGCTCAATTTAAATGTTTTAGCTTGGGTACCAAAGCACTCTAGCCATTATAGCACAGAAGTCCTAATAGGTTAATTTATGTTAAGTAGCCCCATACTAACATAATGCTTCTGGAACCCAAAGCAGCTTCTCTAAACCTAGCTCTGGTATCTCTACCTTACTCTGCAGTCTGAATGTAGACAGACCATGAGATTGTGTGGTGCGGATGCTGGGAAAGCAGTGGCAGTGTGCATACCTACACGTGCATTAACGTGCGGTGGTTATTGCACATTAGTACCGGCCCACACCTTTTAAGTGATGTTAATATGCAGTAGACTAATTCTACTGCGCACTAGCGCAATACCATGGATTTTGCTGTGATGTGCTAATGCACAGCAGAATTAGTCTACTGCATATTTAGCATCCCTTGTAGATGCGCCCAGTGGTTGCTGTTTTTGTGCTATTTTTGTGCCTCCTCCTCCTAAGTTGGTGCCCAGGGATGGGGCTCCAGTTGCCCCACCTCTCTTCCCAAACTCCAGTTATGCAACAACCAATTTGGGGGCTTTACTTCTAAACCAAAGTTATGTTATTAATGACCAAGTAAAACTTTTCCACATACTTTATTGCACAGTCCTCTATGAAAGCAGTTGTTAAAGTGGCAACACCCTGTCTGGACTTCCCTTGCCAGAAAGATTTTTACTGGACGTTGCCTCAGTGTGCAGACTTTTTTCCTCTGGCATGATTCTCAGGTTGTTTTATATTTTAATAAGCTCTTGAAGTAACAAAGACAATTTTTTTCTTACCTACAGAATGTAACTCTAGTACTGGTTTTGCTTATTTTTAGTGCTCATTTGGTCATGTTTGACTGGAAAACAGTCATTTAATTTTTCTATGTGGTTTCAAGACTTCTAAAATTCTTCTTACTGCTAACACTAGTCTGGAAGCTCAGAACACACAGCTAATGATTCAGTTTTGTGTATAGATTATGGATCTGAATGACAGAAAATGGCATTTGAGCATGTTTATAAATTTTACCAAAAAGTTTTTGTGCTCCTTGCAAAAAAAAGAGATTAATTTGGTTATGATAGTTGGAGTTTTTACTATAAACCTATTTTGTTTGTTCTTGGGTTTTTTTTATCAAGGTTTAGTGCAAAATACCACCAAGTTTAATACACAAATTGTGTAAAAATATATGAAATGATGCTGTGTTAATGAAATGATACCAAGTTGAAAGCAGCAATCCCCAAAATGATGCTGATTTAGTTGGTATGAAAAACAAGATGGGCTGTTTAAAAATTTACGTGTTCCAGAATGAAGATTGATAATTTGCTAATGTCTCTAACTGAAACGCATCTAAAACATTGATTTATTAACTGATGTTTCTTTAATTGCATCCACAGTAAAAAACTTGAAATGTATGGTGCTTTCTGCAAGTATTGGGTCTAAGCCCTGAAAACCTATCTTCAAAAATCATGTGGGAATATTATTTGCCTTGGCTTAAAACTCTTGTTTGAAGAAGAAACATCAATTTGTGAGACTGTGTTCTGAAAAACAGTTCCTGTACTAACAACATATGTAAAATTTATGGCTTTATGGGATAAATTCTGACCATTGCAATCCCAGTAGATGCAACTGTTTTCTTGTGTATATTGCTTTAAATTGGTAGTAACGCCACTGAAATTGATTACCACTTATAGAACACTCCTTACAAACATTCATTGATGGATACTGCAACACTCACGTGCCATTTCTAGTGAAGTATAAAATTTATGTAGGAAGAATCTGTTTCATCTAGTTAGGCCTTAATACTTAACTTCTTCTCCGATGTTATATGCTTTGCTGAAAATATATTATTTAGTACTTGCCACTACTGTAGTAAATATTTGCAGAGAACATATGTGAAGAAATAGATACCAGTCAAGATTTCAGAGGGCACATCTACACATTCATTAATGCACCTTTGCTACTGTACATTAAGTTTAGTACCTCTGTGCACTTTTACGTGTGCTCCATAGGTGGAGGGAGGCAGGGCTTTAATTAGACTGGCTCCAAGAGCCACTCTAAATAAAGCACCCCCGTGTCTCATGTATCAGCATCCCTGCACTTAAAAATGGTGGCAGGAGCGCTTGAACTAAAGCTCGTTCAATGAGCCTTAGTTCAAGTGACCCCACCACCATTTTTTAAAACAGGGACATTAATACATGAGATGCAGGAGGGTCCCGGAGCACGGTAATTGCCATGGTTGAGACTTCCAGCACGTCAGAGCAGCCTTTGTGCTCATGTATAGGCGCCTTCTAATATGAGGTACTACATAAAGGCTCATTAGCCTGCACTAATGCATAGTAGCAAAGGTGAATGGGTTTTTTTTTGTGACACTCAGTGTTCAGTAGACTAATTGTACTACACATAGGCACAGTTTTTGCCATGACATGCTAATGTGTAGTAAAATAGGCTACTGCATGTTATGGTGTCTCATGTAGATGCACCCAGTATCAGTTATATTAGTACTAGGAAACTAATATGAAATTAGGAACTGAACCAAAGACCCTGGCCAAGTTTACACGGTATGCTGACTGTGCAGTAGCTCATTACTGCTGCACAGTAGTGTCACATGGCATGAAGCATGATGTGACACTACTGCACAGTCAGCATCACCAAAAAACCATTTTTGGGGTGCTATTGTGCAGTAATGCCAGTTAGTGCCCAGTCATTTGGTACTTGAGTGTACAAGTACTAAGTGACTGTGCAGTAACAACTGCGCAGTAAGCATCTTGTGTAGACACAGCCACTGAAGCCAGCATCTAATGTTAGCAATCTAAAAAAGCAGGCCTGATTTTGCAAGGATGCTGCAGTTCATGGGAACTCAAATGTCATATATAGGTGGCTCAATATTCATTGATTGTACATCTAAAAGTCAGGGCCTTTTTTGTTTGGGTGTTTAAACATGAATCTAAGTTCCTGACTTTAGGCATTTCTCAGTTTTGAAAATTTTAGTCTAAATGATTTGTCTGTGGCCACAAAAGAAGAAGGAGTAAGTAAGGACTAGAAAACATGGGTTCTTTACCTATACTCCTGTGACACTATCCTGTGTTTAGGACAATATTCCACATTGCTTTGTCCCTGCCCAGAATCAAAAGCTATTTGGCACTTTTGGTAGGAGACAAAATGGATTTTTGTTGGTACAATTAAAAAAAAGCATCCTATATGCATAGCAGAAGTAAGTCTTAGATTATGAATAAGAAAAGTTGTTAAGCATCTGGTTGTAGCTCCTAATAAAACCACACCATTCGGTGCTGGCAGTTTCAGAACACACACAAGTGAAAGATCTGAAAGAACAAATGGATAAATTATACCTTACCTGTCCACACTCAGGGCACAGAGATTGAGAACTGTGATTCCCACAGATGCCTTCTGTATAAAGGGGAGGAATTTGCAAAGAAATAATCCAAAATCGGAGTTCTCAAATGGCCACCCTTGAGCAAGAAGCTAAGAAAAAACATACAATAATCAGAAACATTGAATGGTGATATAGGCAGTGAATATGTAACAGATTACAACATGTCTTGTCTTCAGATTCTGCCCTAACAGCCCTGAATTCTTCATGTTTCAGTATGTCATTAGGTAATGAATGAAACTGGGAGGTAACCAGCTGGTGCAGAAGCATGGAGGGATTAAAGGGGACTGTTTGAACATAAGCAGTGGGGTGGATTAACTGAACAGTGAGGTAGTAACTGTTGTATTATTAAAGGATCCTTTCCTAAAATATTTCAGCTACTCTTACTGCATGCAGAAAATCAAATTCACCCATGCTATAAATGGGTGCAGTTCCAGCGTGTCCACCAAAAGCCTAACACTCAAGACATGGTTCAGAATGGTACCAGAGTCTCATGCCTCATGCAAGCAGCCTTGTGTCATTATCAAGGTCTGCTGGACTCAGAAATGCAGAGAAAATCACTGCATACATAATCTGTTCCACACGGTATTTTAAGAGACTGGCACCCTGCATGTGGGCCATGGCAGGGGGTGATAGGCAGCTGTATGTGAAGGTATGCCTGAGGGGGCAGGAGTCTGGG